TTCATCAGTCTTTCTTGCTTGTGTTGTAATAATCTTGTAAAACATTGTCTGCTCCTGGGCTGATCACACAGGTCGGTAAGCTTCTGTTAGTGTGATTTCTGACAAAAGTCCCATTTCAACTCGGCAGCACTCAAAATGCAGTCCGACCCTTTCTCTCTCTCTCTCTCTCTCTCTCTCTCTTTCTCTCGGCGATCTGGGGGTCGGCAGCAGGTGCGAGGGGGCTTGGGTTCATGAAGTATTGTCTTGCGTGTTTGTGACAGAAAGCTGTCCCCGGTAAAGGGAACTTGAGAGTTTCTGTGAATGTAATGGTTCATCGTGAATAAAGTGAGAGAGACAGTGCTCGGGGAGCGAGGGCGTAGGAGGCGAGCTGATGAAGGTGTTCCGTGTCAGATTTGTGTGGGAATTATTTACCTTGCTGTCTTTCCTGGGCTGTTGCTGGAAATGTGAAGACATGGAAAATTATCCCAGATGGGACGAATCGCGTGTTCTCTGTTCTTTTTTTTTAAAAAAGGAAAAGATTGCAGGGTGAGAGGCAAAAAAAAAAAAAGTTGTCCTTTTCTTTAGAACAGTATGAATAAAAACCGGACAGCTGTCGAAAAAGATATGCCGTCTGCATTTTTTTTTTAAAAAAATTTCTAGCCGCTACCATAACTAAATAGCTTGAATTGTACATCTTCTCTCTCTCTCTCTTTTTTCCCCTCCCCTTCAGACATAATGATCTCTACTTCATTAAAAGCGTATTAATCCGGTTCCCAGTCTCTTGGGAGACACCTTAAGATGATGATATTGTGGGGTTTTTTTCCCCCCGAATTGTTTTAAAAAAAAAAATTCTAGCAGATTTGGTCCCTGTCAGTCAGAAATAATTGTGTTCTTAATCTTGTCCCTGATGGATGACTCGGAGTTCAGCAACGGGCCAGCTCCAATGACAAATACAGTATTAATATTCATTAACTGCTTTGACAATGCTAATTTTGATGCAGTAGTAAAAGGCCTTCCAAAGTTAGCGGGCAAAGCATCAGAGCTGCGCAAGGTGGCAAGATAATTTGTCCTGGTTTGCTGAGCTGAAGGCTTTTAAAGTCTATAGCAAAAAGCTAGGTACCACAAACAAAAAAGAGAAAGGGGGAAAAGTTCTGAAGCATTGCAAGGCAGGGCTGCGGAAATAATACGATCACAGTCCGCTAAAAAATTTGACACCTCTGATGCAGTTTCTTTGAGTGAAATTTCTACAAAGTTGCAACAAAAAAGCATAGCATGGTAAGTCAGCACATTCTTGATTTTGTTTAATCTTTTTGATCTTTTCAATTATCGCTATTTGAAGATCAATAGTCATTTTTTCCTACTATGCTTAGAAGACGCACAGTGGTGGTTGAATATGTGTTAGGACCATTGGTTTAAAGGAACACATCCACAAGTTTTGGTGTTTTTTTTTTTTTAAGTTAGTCATGAAAAATGTTGTAAATTGTTCTGAGTTTGCTCACGTTTGGGTGTTTTTAATGGGCTGTTTGGGGGTTTTATATCCCTCCTTCCCTCCACCAAAAAAAAAAAAAAAAGAAATAGGCAAGATCATTAAATTCTATAGATGTAAAGAATTTCTGAGTGTACTTTCAGCTGGAGAAAACTTAGGGGTGAAGTGGTCCTCTAACTTTATCTGGATTCAGCTGGCTTCTTCCCTTGCCTCCTCCGAATGGCTGCAGATAGCAAGTCAAAGCTGAATTTCGCTGGAGAACTGCGAAGCAGGAGTTTCGCCAACTTAGGTGAACTTCCTCGGACTACTGAAACCGCCTTTACGTTTGCCAAGTCTCGGCAAACAAAATATCAGGCTTTGTTCTTTTGATTGAATGTCGTGGGTTGGGGGGCTAAAAAGGGAAAGAGTGAGAAAAGCCCGGCCTTTTTTTTTTTTTTTGACGCCCCCTCCCTCTGGTGGGGGTTGGATGGTGGTGGAAGCAGGGGAGAGCTCGACGGTTGCGCCTTTGCCCAGCCTGCGAGGAGATTTCTGTGAATGGCACCGGCTGCGAGCATCTTGTCTGGCGCTGCGGCCGGGGTGCGCGGAGGCGCGGGCGGCGCGGCGGGTGCTGCCCTCCAGTGGAGCCCGCGGCCGGCGCGGGCCCAGGGCGGCCATCGTGCGCGCGGCAGCATGCCCGCGAGCCGGCGGCGGGACGGACAGCGCCGCGACCCGCTCTAGATGGTAAGCGGTTCTCCGGGCCGGGCGGCGGCGCGGTGCGGGGCGGTGCGCGTGGGGGTTCCCGCCGTCGCCGCCTGCGCACCCACCCCGCCGCGGCCCCAGCTCCTGCAGCGCCCTTGCATGTTCCCGCTCGCTCCTTGTCACTTGGCAGTAACTTTAAGAGTGACGCACCTGGGCTGGTGGAGAAGGCATCCCGTGGATAGAATCAATTTTTCCTTTTCTTTTTCTTTCTCTGTCTTTTGTGATTTTTTTTTAGATATCCCTTCTAAAAAGACAATACCTTTTTATTGCCAACTTTCATCCTTAAAATGCACTTTATGCATGCTGTTTAACTTGGAATATTGGTGATTTCGTTTCTTCCCGCTCTCCAAGTTAAATCTACAGATGCCCCACCCTTTTGGCTCCCCTCCTTCCCAACCCCAAATGTTTTAGTAAATAATACACATTTTCTAACTTTGTTGTAAATCTCCCCTTCCTCCCATCTCCAACCTTTTGATTTAAAACAACAAAACTAAACTTGGCGGATGACGTCCGCTAGGTCCCGGCCCCGGAATGGGCAAGGGCACGGCCTCCCCACCGCACCTGATGGCCATTTCACGCTCTCAATTGGTGTGTGTGTGTGTGTGTGTGTGTTTTGTTTTTGTTTTTTGTTTTCTTTTCTTTTCTTGTGTTAATCTCACGGTCAGCGTTTGTACCTCTGGCCAGCGGGGCACTCTGAGGCCGCCTTGGGAGCAGCACTGAGAGCAATGGGCAGATGTTGGGAAGGAGTTGCTGCGGAGTTTGGGGTTTGGAGAAACTTTAGCTCCCCCTGCCCTTCTGCTGGGCGAGGAGGAGAAAGGGGTGTGTGTGTGTGTGTGTGTGTGTGTGTGTGTGTGTGTGGCATGCGTTGGCTCTGCTCGCTCCTTTGCCTGTCCGGGTTCCCTGGTTTTGGGCACCCTTGAGCCTTGGTTGTTGCTGAGCGATCCGGACCTGTCCATCAGGCGGCAGAGAACTTGCCGTTTATTTAAGAAATTGCGTGTGCGACAAAGCCGGCTGCCAGGAGTACCGCGGTTGGCCTGAATGGAGGGAGGGCAGGCAATTAGGGGGCTGTGTGGTTGAGGCTTTTTACTTGTCAAAGTGGAGGCTCGTTGCTTTTGTTCCTGCCTTGTCGTGGGAAATGGTCCGGTTTTGTTTTGGTATTAAGGGCCTTGGAGGCTGTTGCCTGACACTTTAGCCAGGAAGTCCAAAAAAAATGCAAAAAGAGGGGGCCATGGAGCCATCATTTGAAAAACAAGAAATAAAGAATTACTGCTTTTTTTTTTTTTTTTGGTTCTATCTCGGTTCCCTTGCAGCCCTCTTTTTGTTGTTGTTGCTGTTGCTGATTTGGCTCGGGTGGGGGTGGGGTGAGGCTGATTAACTTGTCCCCCAAATTAACAAGCTGTACTCCAGAACCGGCGGCCAGTTCTGTGAACACAGTCTGCTCTTCTACCAGCTTTGCTGGGTGCCTAGTGGCCACCAGGAAACATCCAGCCACACCATCCCGGGTCTTGCTTTAACTCCAGACAGGTGGAGGCCCCCACCTGGCTCAGGCAGGGTCCTTTTCTTACCTGCATGCAAATTGGGGCTACTGCCTGCTGGCTTCTGGTGAGGCTGAAGTGGCTCCCCTTGCCGGGGCACGCAGGGTGGGAGGGGAGGTTCTGCATGAGTTTTGTGTTCGGCAAGTTTTCCTCCCCATCTGTCGCCCCTCCTGAGCAGCCACCCTCCTCCCACCCTCCCCTCCTGGCAGTAAAAGGGGCGGGGGGGTGACTTCAGGCCTGTGATGTCTGAGCATCTCCACTCAAATTAAGTTAAACCCACACAAATGTACTCAGCCCTGGCTGCTATGCGAGCCCCAGGAAAAGTAAGTCGGGTTTGTGGGATTTCAGTGGTCCCCTCTGCATCTGTTTGCGGCCCTCTTCCCCCTCCTCTTCTCTCTGTCTCCGGGAAAAACTAGCAAAACTCAACAGTGGGGAGGGAAAAAAAAAGTGAGGCAGCGTGTGCCTGTTGGAATGCCAGTGAGCCCGGTGCGCAGAGGTCAGTGGCGAATCCTGCAGACACAGGCTGTTGCTTGGGAAGGCAAAGAGGGTGTGCACAAGTGGCAGGCAGGGCCCTGCCATGTGTCACTTCCGTGTCACTATGACAAGAAAATATACTTTCTCCCTCCCCCTCTCCCATCGCGGGCCCCCTCTCCCTCTGAAATTTGTTTTGAGGGATTTGACAATCTTGCAGATAAAGTGCCTGCCTGCTGCCTCCACTTGATGATTTTTCCTCATGGCCGGCCGTAATTTCTTTGCTCCTCTTAGCGGCAGCCCCGTCCCCGCTGCCCAAGGTAACGGGTGAGGGAGGGGGACTTAGGTGCCCGGAGCTGGCTGGGGGAAAGATGGGCCTTCCCCCTTCCTTCACGGATTCGGGAATGGTACCCAGCAAGAAGGAGCATTTCAGTTGAAAGAAAATTAAATTTCACCTGCAACCAGCTGAATTAGATCATTAGTTTTCTCTCTTTTTTTCTTTTGAGAATATATACATCTATATTTTTTTAAGGGATGGGTACGCAGGGGGAAAAATGAATGAAGTAATGACAGGCGATGGGAATGGGAACTTGGAGCATTTTTGAGGAAACCTGGCCAGAAAGCGGGAGCCATGTCGGAGTCGCACGATGCTCTTGCCCATCTCTTGCGGTGAATGGTGCAGGGAGCAAGGGCAAGTGGGGAGGAAAAGTGAGAAAAGCGGGAAGGGAGGAGGGGGAGAAAAAAAAGAAAATCCCTGGCCCAGTCCCATCTTGAAGGTACAGAGAAAGTTTATTTAGAGGTGGAGAGAGGAAAACCAAAGCTATTATGTACCCTAGGGATGCAGTGTTAGTGGGCATGGAAGATTTGAGTGGGAAGGGAGGCACAGTGGCCTCCGGGGTCTCTCTCTTCCAGCAGTTGGGCGGTTGGCACCTCAATTTGAATTGCTGGGTGAGTAGTGTTGTGTGTGTGTGTGTGTGTGTGTGTGATGTATACATGTCTGTGTTTGTTTGTGCTCATGGTCTTGACTATTAATCCTGTGCTTGACCCCCCACCCCCTTAAAAAAATTCCAGTGGTGGGAAGGAAAGAGCCAAATAGAGTTAAGTGGTCAACTCAAGCTGTGCCCTTTCTCTGTGTCCTTTAGCCGGCAGCTTTGGGGGGGAGGAGGGGGAAAAGGGTTAAAAAAAAAAAGATGGGGGAGGAGAGAAAGTGTGACTCTTATCCCCTTGCTGGCAGCAGTGTGCAGCTGCGCTGGGATCCGGGAAGGGGTAGTGGACTTGGGGATGGGGTAGTGGGCTAGGGGATTTCGTCTAACACAGTCATTGTTTCTTTCGCCCTTGGCCCACCAGAGTGGGCTCTGCCAGAGAGAAAGATGGGAAAATGGCCATGCCCCTCAGAGGGACAAGACAGGCACATGCCAAGCTTGAAACCGTTTTGAGAACCCCTAAGACTTTTGGCAGTAGCAAGACTTTTGTAAACCACTCCCTCGGGTTTCATATTTAATGCTAACTTTCTGTTGCTACACGTCTTGAAGTGTGCTTGTTTTCAACCTCCGAATTTACATGTCAGCCTCTTAGGGGCATGGTCTCGCTTATGATCTTGATATTTTCTGAACTTAATGTAAAAATGTGCTTTGGAAACCCGAGCATGAGACTGATGACAGCTGATGGTGTTCTTAATGGTTTAGGAAGACGGTTCTTTTGCCATGTGAGTTTTGGATTCAGGCTACCTCATGCTGGGGTTCAAGAGTGGGGTCCACTCTTCTGCCACAAGCAGGAAGGGCATTTGGAAGCAGCCCTCTGATTACCTTTATTATGCTTTTATTGGTGGTGGCGTTGAATGACCCTGGCTGATCGACTCTAGATGTGGTGTTCGGGGAAGAGGGAATGAAATGCACACTGTAAGGTCCACGTGCCTGCATGTTGCGTGAAAGCACCAAGTGATGTAGTTCCCTAGTTGAGCAGCGGGGCCTGCCAGGGGTACGCTGACTCTCGCGGCCGTGTGCAGGTTTCTGGTTCCGTCTGAGTTTGTGAACTCTTGGGCATTGTGAAGGCGGCCGTGCGGGCTCGGGCTGCAAATGCGCAGGTCCTGTTGCCACACTTTACATGCGCACGGCATTGTCTTCCTCCGTTCGGAGTTTCCCTGGGTCTGGTTTACTCAAATTATGGGGGCTACTTTGCGGTGATCCTCTGTTCTTGATGTCTTTGCAGAAGTGGGATGCTTTGGGTGGGCGAATTCCCTGGCTCTGATGCTACAGATGCTGTGAGGCGTGAGGCGAGGACCCTCACCATGGGCTGCTACATCAGCTTTTTCTGGGAGCAGCAGAGCCTACGACCTTGTATTCTTAGGAAACCTCCCTTTTGTGGTTTGGGGTTGATGGGGGGCCTGGCTGAGCTCCGTAATGAAATTTTTGCCTTCTGTAATATGTTAGAATGTGTTGAAATCCTGACATACCCTCCCAACTAGATAATCCCACACTTTTGTGCATTTCATTTTTTTTTTTTAATGACCTTTGCCTGGGTCATTTGCTTGTCACCGTAAACTTCCAACTCACCAGCTCGTGATCAGAGGGAACGGTGATCCGCTCACTCTCCTGGCCCCGGGCTGACTGTTTTTCACATGAGGTGTGGGTGCCTGCGTTTGAGGAATCCCCTTAGGCCACGGAAGGCAGCTTTCCCTCTCTCTCCCTGTGCTGAAGTCTTTCCAGAATCCTAGGGTTTGGACATGTGTGTGTGTGTTAGGCCCAGTGAATGAAAGCACTCTTGGTTTGACTCTGTCGACCTGCTCTGTACTAAGGAGAAGATGGGCTGGGTTTTTTGGTTTTGTTTGTTTTGTTTTGTTTTTTGACTGGATTTCTAAAGGAAATAGCTACCTCTTGAGTTCCCATCAGCCTCCGAGGAAATCCACAAGCAGATTCCAAAGTTAGGCCACTGTTAATGTGGGTGTCTGCTTGGGTCCACTGTTCAGTGCTTGAGAGTGCTGCCCTGTACGGCCATCGTATGCCTAAAATTTACACGAAAATCAGAACTGGTGGTTTGCTTTTCCATTGTAATTCTGGAGGTTTGTGAATTGGAGGTTGTGGTGTTCGGCGCTGGAGGAGTTGCCTGGAAATCATTATGACTTTTTTTTTAACTTGCTTCAAATTTGAGCTTTTGAATTTCTTCTTTAAGAGTAGGTTAGATTTATTCCTAGCTCTGTGATTGTTTGTTTGTTTGTTTGTTTTGAGATCTGTTCTCTTAGAAACAGCTGTCCCCTCTTACCCAGTTACCAAATGGTCTGTACGAATTCAGACACTCAACAAGATTCATTATGCAAGGACCGATCATTTAATACCCAAAGTAGTAGAGAACTATTTGGCAGGAGGGGCGAGTGTGCCGATTCCTGGGAAATGACTTAGGGGTGAAGGGGCTTGTCCTTCGCCCCTGAGACCCCGTGGGGGTGAGAAGCTGCCAAGAGGACCCGTGGGTGAATGTCACACCCATCCGCTGGAGCTCCAGGCTGAGCATTTGCAATGTCGCGTTGTGCCGCTGCAAGGCAGACCGGCAGGCAGAGGGAGAGCCCTGGCAGCTCGGCGGGCAGGCGTGAGCCTAGCACAGTGGGCCGGGACTTCTGCCTGCCACTTCTTTCAGGATTTAGTTGAGGGAGATACAATGGGATGCTTTCTTTTTATTGGAAAATAAATGAGAATGAAGTGGAAATAAATTATAGTTAATGAACTTCACTGGAAGTAATCGTTCAAGAGCCCGTGAAAGCACAGCTTGGCGGGCTCGAGCCTGGACTGTGCCTCCCACGAAGCCGGACCGCTGCACACAGGTTTGGGTGTTCATCTTCGCCCCAGCACCCCAGCCTCCCCACACCCTTTCTGGGAGCATAAGAAAAGGCCCATAAGCATTGCTGAGTCCGGCCCGGAGACCTTCAGTGTTTGACAGTCTGCTGTGTTACCAGCTGGGTGGTTGTAGTGGAGACCCCTCAACTCCTCCCCTGGCCCACCCTGAAAGAGACCAAGGACCCAGGGCGGTTTGAGTCAGTCCACTATTGCATGTGCATGAGAGAGAGAATCTGGACTGTGTGTGTCCGTGCTCTCTGCCTACTGTCCTGCTGCTTCCTGCAGTCTTTGCCTGTGAGAAGAATCTGCCAGTCTGAGTCCATGATAAAGTATGAGTCGGCAGAATTTGGCACACAGAGAGAGACCCCTCTCCACGTCTTGCTGTCTCAAGGGACCCAGTGCTAAAAAAGGGGAGAGGGAGGCAAAGGCAGCCTTGAGGGTTTGCAAAGCAAGTGGAGTGGTACTCTGGGCGCAGGTCCCCCGGGCAGTGGGGCCTGCTCAGGCAGATGTCTTACTCTTAAGGAAAACCCCAACCCTGTTATGCCTTCTTTCTGTTCATTTGTTGTTTTCAGCAGGCTGTGCTCTAGCTGTTGATATACGGCTTGATCATGGAAAGCATGCACTGTTAGGTGGCAGCTAGCCGTTAGACAAGAGTGGCCTTGGGGCTCCGCAAGGGCACCGGCCACTGTGCTGAGCAGGTCCCAGCTAGCTGTGCAGGGCCGCTGGGGATTCTCACAAAGCTCATTTAGGGCTCAGAATGGGCATAGCCGTTCTCTCTGTCCAGTTGAAAGGTTTGCTTGATACACAAGCAAGACATGGGGCAGCTAAGCTGGTCTGGGACTGTGCCTGCAGGCCTGGGTTCAGTGTGTTCTGGGGCTTGGCTCCTGTCTCTGCAGCAGGGATATGGGTTTTTGGTGCTTGAAGAGGGTGGCTTTTCCCAGACTGCTCCTTCACCCTGATCCTGGAAGCGGTAGGACTAGTCACCCAAGAGTCTTTGCTGGCTGCAAAAGCAGCCCCTCCTTTCATCTCATCCTAGGGACTCTGATGACACAAACACCTTGCTGGCCGCCATCGCCCTTCGTGCCACCATGGAAAACCCAGAGTGGATGGTGGCTGTTCCTGAGGCTGGCCTTACCCTCCCTCCCTACCACCATCACCAAGAGCTGGCCATTCCAGACCCCTGAAGCCCTCCCACCCCCATCCCCAGGAGGAGAAGGGCTGACCCAGGCCCCCATGCGCTGCTTTTGTTTTATTGTGCTGAGCTCCTAGAGGTACTTTCTGGCCCCATTTTTCTCCAACAGAAAAGAGAGAGAGCAGTAGGGTGGTGCAGTAGAGGAGGGCCAGGGAGAAAGCAGGCCAGCAGTGGTCCTGTTTGTTTGCAGCATCTGCTGGTTAATAGGTTACCGAGGTGAGTGAGCAGCTCTGCTTCCCTGGAGGTTGCTCACATTTAGGGTTACGGGGCTGGCAGAGAGCCCCAGGAGTGCTGTGAGCCCTCCTGTTCTTAGGACAAGGTCCCTGAGTATGAGCCACATTTGGGTGGGTACGTGGGTGCCTGGCAATGAGGGTGGCATGGCCGAGTTACAGCATATTCTGCTTATGGGTTCTGGAAAGGTCAAAGGTCACCCCACCCTCCCACCTTATAGTTCTTGGAGGACTTGGGGTAGAAAGGCTTTGTGTGCCTTGAGGGCTGTTAAAGGACCTTTTCTTTGCTTTAACTCTTCAGTGCCCCAAACCCACAGAGCTTAAGGAACACAGCAAGGAGAGCTGGCCTTGCTTTGGGGAGCAGTTTCTGCAGGCAGAAGGCCTAAAACCCTAGAGATTTCAAGCCAATGTGGATTTCTGCTTTCAGTTCTTCCTGGAAAGATGCTGCTTCCTTCCTTGAATGGGTGCAGTTATAGCTGGCTTTTCCCCTTGATTTCTTGTCAGACCGTTTCCTTTCATTTCTTATCTGCTAAGGCTGGACCCTGATACTGTGTTTGTATTTGAGATGCAGAAACATCTTGTTACATTTCCATACCCCCTCCCCTAATCAGCCAAATGCTGTTTAAAACAAAGCAGTCCTTCCTTCCCACCCTCCCCACCCCCCCAGGGACCGTGAAAAGGTCCCTGCTAAACATACTCAGT